CGCCAACACAGCGCCAAAGTAATTGTCATCAATTTGTTGTATTTGCGCAACTAATTGCCGAACATTTGTACAACGAACGCCCAAAACGATGTTGGCCTGCAGGGCGTCGAGTGCGTCTAATTAGCCATGAATATTGTGATGATTGTGTCGGTGTGTGTGTGTGTGTGTGTGTGTGTGTGAATTGGCGCAGTCAAGCGAATATTTCAATGTCAGATTGCTTAACACAATTGTAACTAGCTGACAATTAATGAGCCAGCCAATTGCCCTATAATCAGTATACATTACTCCAGAGTAGCCCTACGTTCTCACTCGTAAATACAAACTTAATTTTCAGTTTATTTATTGCTATTTCAACACGCAGACAATCTCTCAAAAAAATAAACCAGCTGTTTATTTGCTTGCCTGGAGCTGTGTTTGGCAAGGTGCCTTGGCCAAATTGGGGCGATACCGATACTCTGTTTCCCTTTCAACTGCCCCACCCAGCGGGTAACCTAACGGTCGCAGCTTGAAGTGTTTCATTTTTTGCGTTTTCTTTTTCGCACAGCATCCAGTGCCAAGTGGGTTGGCAGGCTGGGCAGGGCAGGGCAGGGCTATCTGTAATTTTTGTTGCTGTTTTTGTTTCTTTTATGTAATTAAGTCAACACAGCAACAACAGCAACAACAATAACATCGGCAAATAGTGCGTGCCAAGAGCTGTGCCAATTTATATGCTGCGCCATAATTAAATAAGCCTACAGTGCAACAACAACAACAATGAGAGCAACAACAAGAGCAGCAGCACGCTGAGCCATATTTTGGTGCCAGCTTGAGCAATGTGCTTGTTAGCAAGTTTGTGCCTTAAGTCTTTTGTGCACTGTGGTTACAATAGAGAAATAATTGATCAAAAAATCTGCCGATCAAAGCAAAAGATAATAAGACAAAATCCAGGATTAAAGAATTATATATATGGATGTTGATTATTTCAGGCAAATAAATTAAAATCAGAATTTGTATGGCATATAATATAAAATAAGCCGGAAAGTATAAGCTTTAAATCAAAAGTAAAAATCTTTTATCTGCAGCAAAACACCTTTAAAAACAAAAATATAAATATACAAAAGAACTAAAGTTTTATAAGTAATAAAATTGTAGAATAACTTAGAGAACTAAAATTTTATTTCAAATAAAATTGTAGAATGACTTAGAGTGGAAATCCGCATTTGAAGCTATGTAATACATATATATGTATATATAAACAAGTTTGTGTCTTTTATAAAAAATACAAGACATGCAAAGTACCAAACCAACCGGAAGATGACCTAACTATAGCAAAAAAACTTGTCCAAAAAATATGGAAAATATAAATTTTAAGATTTTTCAACATAGATGCTTGGTAACAAGTTTATGCCTTAAGTCTTTCGTTAGAGCCGAAATTTAAATTGCCAAGTAACATACGTTTTCTTTTTTATTTCCAGCGAAACTTATCAAAATTTACAAATACATAAATATACCACTTAAATTAACTCATTTATATCTTTTTATTTTTTTTATTTTTTTTTATTTTTTTGAATGAAGTCAATCCACTGTATGACATATCGTGTCGAGAATGCGGCTGTTAGGCAATCGCTAAGCGACTACAAAATGTCTAAACTATTTGATTAGGTTACATGCGGTCAATAATTACGCTGCGACTCTGTCTTAAGGCGTACGCACATTTTATGGCACCGACTATTCGGCGGGACTAATTAAATGTCCATAAATTTGCTAAAAGACTTCGCGAAACGATGAATTGCACAACTTTAGCTGTCTTGGAGATCTTCTGTCGATTTTTAATTACAAGTCGGCTTTTTGCTATTTTTCTTAGCCGTTTAAGGTCAAAGCTAAGCCGGAAGCCTGTCCGAGCGGCCAGCCAGGCAGCCGGGCAGCCGGTTAACCGGTCAAATGGCTGCAGACGAACAGCTGCAGCGAGCTTACGAAATTTAGCTTTTTTTTTTGGCCATTTTGTACTTCAAAATGTCAGCGGGCACAAACATTTTCTACATACATATTATTTATGAATTGTAAAATTTTTCAATTTTTCTATTTTGTTGCTGTGCAGCACTCGCACTTGGCCATAACAAGTCGGTCAAGACGGCCAAGTCGGCCAAGCCGGGCCCAGACATTGCAGTTTGACCTTTTATTGGCTGGCTGCTTGGGTAACCTCTTTGTCTATCTCTCTCTGTGTAATTATTATTAAAAATACATTTTTGACTTTTGTTTAACAAATTACAAAAAAAAAATGAACACACGTCAGTTAATTGCCAAAAAAAAGATTTATAAATAAATATATTGTATATATTGTATTTATTTATTTTTTTTTTTTTATTTTAAAGATGATGCCTTGTTTATTGGCCATTTGTGAGGCTGATTGGTTGATTGGTTTTGATTGACCCGATTGCCGTGCATATTTGTTGTCTCCGCTCGTTATTGATTATTAATTTTTGGCATTGTGACATTTGCTTTGATCTTCATGCATATCTAAGCAGACAAACTCAATCAACTGGTTGCTTGACTCATTCGTTGCGCTCAGAGTTTTGTCATTTGTCTGCGAATTTCCCAAGCTAATTAAGAACTTACTTCCTAGGCGAAAAGACCAACATTTCGTTCTCGTTTCAGACAAATATTTGCACTTAGCGTGCGAATCATTGTGTGGCATTTGTGAGCGCTTAATTTCCGCCACAGGTTAAATGTTAATTGCCAATTGTGTTATAATTAAAAGCTGAAGCAATTTATCAACAACTTATTATCTGCAAAATAATACTAAAGTTGTTAATAAGCGATTGAGAGAGTCGCAGAGTCGACAGACGGATTGACCTTCATCTGGCTGATGTGTGGTGTTAATGTGAGGAAGCGAAAAGAACATTTGCCACTCTGTGTTGCATTAATCATGTGTATGTATATGTGTGTGTGTGGGTGTATGTTTGTAAGTAGTTATGATTATAAATGTTTGATGTGCGAAAAAATCAAAAGGAAATATCATGCAAAGCCCCATTTCCGGAATAGTAGGTGGCATGGTAAATAAGTTCCATTTTATATAAAATGTAATATACATATATAAGCCATTCGCAAAAACATATTTAGTTTGTTAAGTTCCACATATATTCATATTAATAAAAATTAAATTTTAATATTTCAATTTGTAATTAAAATAATCACTTCATTTTCATATTGAAATTTTGGGTTCTAAATTTTTCTTAATAATTAGTTTAGTTTCAATTATTTATTTGTATAAGGATAAAATTTAATATTTGAATTAAAATTTGTACATTATTTTTTAATGGTAAATTGTAATTAATTAATTAATTTAATTTAATTT